ACGTTAGGATGAAGCTGCTGCTCGTCTCTACAGCTGGATCTACTATGATTATCAGAAGGAAGTAAACCCAGACCTATCTAGTATTGTCAGAAGGTAATTAGTCCATGGACATGCATGTATTAAATAAGGACATGATAAAGTAAGCAGGGCTACAATGTCTTCTCACAGCTAATACGCGTAGCTGCTCTCAGATGTGTGTTTGATAATGTGCCCCCCCGGACTGGAAGGAGCCCTGTAGAGAGTGACAGATGATACCAGGTGGTAAGTATGGGCACCTTTGGTTGCCTGGTTCTTCCACGTCTCCCTGTTGTGGTGAATCTCCTTGTTCCATGTGACCTTGAAGCCCTTGAAGTCCACCGTGGTCAGAGAGCAGCTGCCCTCTGAGCCTGTACTCTTCACACTGGACCTCTTTCCATCACTGCCACTGACACTGTGGTCACTGTGGACAGTGTAGACACGTGCACACAAACACACATCCTGTCAGGCGTGTTGAGGTAGAAAGCTGGTGCCTCTTATTGGACAAAGCAACGCCTTCAACGTTACCCTTCAAAGTAAAAGCATCAACGTGTTGTAAATATTGTTTCCTAGCGTGTTTAGATGATAATGCAGCCGTGCTGTTCATGCTTAAGGTTTTAGTGTATTAAAGTACTCGTTTCCTTAAATAAACAGTGTGTAGCGTATCGGGGATCTGATGATGGAACTTGAATAGATTCTTACTATATGCTGGTTTTTAATAGTGTTGAAACTATCTAGGGAGGGTGGTCATGTTCCTACGGTGGCCCAGAATGGACACATAGAAACAATTGAAATTGGGCCTTTTGAAGGTCTGTTTTAGTTTCTATCTGTGACTTCCTGTCTTGGTAGTAGCGATCTGATGAGATGAGGACGTCAGCCGATGGTCCGTGAGGGGAAGACGGGAGCAGGTTGGGACGGCTGATCTACACCACAGGATCATCTAAAATAAGTGTTTGTAATCTTCTGTTTGTCACCTCCAGCGTCTGAAGGCAGCCGTTCCAGATCGCGATGCCTCCTCAACAAGCGGAGTCACAGTTTTCTCCATCATTTCTGTCAGCACTGTAAATGTTGGTTCCACCATGAAGTCAATGAATCCTGCCGGATACGGAAGACACGCCCACTTAACAGATTCACTTCACCTTGTTGATTCTAGTTTGTGTCGACATGTTTTTACTATTTGATAGTAACTAAATAATCACTTAGTTTTCATGCTACTTCCACACGCACAACAACTAGATACGAATGTTGGTCCAGCGTATAAACATCTGAACTTTTCTCCCAAATGAATCGATATACTGGGACAACGGTTTCCATAACAGAGGTACACTGGAGCAGACTGTTCATTAGATAGCAGATAAACAAACAAGCAGCTTTGTGGTGTAAATGATTCTTATTCTATCTTACCAATCTGAGACTGGGCCACCGTGGTGGGTTTGCGGTCACAGAGAGGAGAGAACGGTAGACCCAGCTCCGCTTCTTTATCCCCCTAAAAACGAGTAGACAAAGCAGCGTTACAAGGTGCTGCCATCAAGGCTCACCAACACAACACGTCACCATCTGTTTGCTCATTTCTCATTCCTGTGTCATTTGTACATAGAATGTGGATTTGCCTTTACATATAGTACATGTTACTTCAGTAGCACTTCCGCAGCGTTATTAGTTAGTATCTCTTCCTTTTGTACTTAAGATGGTCTCAGTGTGACCAATGATCTTATCTGGACCCACATGGCTGCTTCAGCACTTCAGACTACATGTACAATCATCCTGTTGTTGTAATGTTTCCTCGCTGAGTGTATTCGGACTGTCGACATGTTTTCAGCCACAGTTCATCTCCTCCCCTCCCTACACGCCTTCCTCCTAAGTCATTGTCTCACATGAACAACCACTGAGTGCCTGCTACTGGAGGACAAGTCCACCAGAAGGTGCTGAGCGTCTTCTACTACCTCATTACTAATTCACATGTACAAAGACTAAACCTTATTCTAATGAATGTATACAATCAACTATTGTTAGCAGGTGGTGAGCTGCGAGCGGCAGCGCTGGTTTATCTGATGTTACACCCAGAGTACTCGTCTGCTTATTTTACCTCTGAAAACAAACTTTGTCTTCTTCTTATTTCGTCACTAGTGCAGAGCCATGTGGAGTACTGCATAAATGAAAAGGCCGCTCATTGATTCAAAGTGGTCACCTGTCTAAAGAACTCCTCCAGAAGGGATGTGGTCCAGCGATGATGGAGGTCCCAGTGTTTGGCAGGGTGGCTGATGTCAGCAGTGTGCAGTAGCAGGGACGAGGCCTTTGCTTTGTCGGGCCTGCAAGTCCAGTCCAGTTAGTGGACGCGGCGCGTGAAGGGTTGTAAAGCAGAAACAATCATGGTTTGATAGTTTCAGCATTGTGAAGGACTGGAGTGACTGGCAGCATGAGGCGGGACGGACCCAGACGTGAAACACTCACGCCTCATGTTGCTGCAGGTGGCTTTTCATCCCGTTGATCTGCTGGAAGTGGCAGGACATGTCTGTGGCCAACACCATCTCCACCACCAGAGCCCGAAGCTCTCTGAAAGAGGGCAGGCAGTAACTGGTCTTCAACCTTCCGAAATTCTCCCACACTACTCCACTCCTCCGCTCTCTTCACTGGCTACCGGTGGCCGCCCGCATCCAGTTCAAAACACTGGTGCTCACGTACCATGCTGTGAATGGATCGGGTCCAGCTTACATCCAGGACATGGTCAATGTTAGGTTTAGGTGAAGGTTCGGACCCCAAAGCAGACACGGAGAGGTTAGTGATCGGCTATACGGACGAGAGTTTATTGGCTGGCGAGGATCCTAGCAACGGGGAGGACGAAGAGCCGGGCGGTGACGCACCCGGGCGTTCGTAGTAGACTGGAGTAATCTGGCGTCGCCGTGATGAGACGCCCAGGCTTATATGGAGGATGATTATTGGATGCAGGTGTGTCTCGTCCAGTCCAGTTGCCGCCAACAGCCAGCCACACCCCCTGCCACAAACAAAACACAAGAGAACACAGCCAAAACCCAAACAAACAGAAACCCAATCACCACAGTATCCCCCCCTCAAGGGACGCCACCTGGCGGCCGACCCGGCTTGCCCGGGAACTGTTCATAAAAGTCATCCAAAATAGACGGGTCAAGGATGAGGGAACGAGAAATCCACTGTCTCTCCTCTGGACCGTAACCCTCCCAGTCCACGAGGTACTGGTAGCCTCGACCACGCCGGCGTACGTCCAAAACCTTATTTACTGTGTATGCCGGGTGGTCATCAATGTCAAGGGTGGGTGGGGGGAGTTCAGCAGGAGGACTTAGTGGACTGGTGGACACTGGTTTGAGGAGAGAGACATGAAACGTTGGGTGAATCCGTAGCGACAGGGGGAGTTTGAGTCTTATAGCTGCAGGGTTAATGATCCGGTCAACCTCAAATGGCCCAATATACCTAGGAGTCAGTTTACGGGACTCAGTGAGGAGGGGCAGATCACGGGATGATAGCCAGACCATCTGTCCCGGCTGGTAGTCCGGGGCCGGTGTTCAGTGCCGATCAGCCACTCGCTGATTGCGGGCCGCAGTGCGGACGAGGGCTGCCCGAGCGAACGCGCCGGAGATGTTCCACCACGGATGGCACTGCCACGTCAGTCTCCTGAGAAGGGAACAGAGGAGGCTGGAAACCATTAGCTGCCATGAAAGGGGACATACCTGTGGCGGAGCAGACCAGGGAGTTGTGAGCATATTCAATCCAGGGAAGGTGTGTAGCCCAAGAAGCAGGATGTCGAGCAGTGACACAACGCAGGGCCGCCCCCAGATCCTGGTTTGCCCGTTCCGTCTGGCCATTGGACTGAGGATGGTAACCCGAAGACAGGCTGGCTGACGCCCCCAACGCCTGGCAGAACGCCCTCCACGTTCTGGCAGAAAACTGCGGACCTCTGTCAGAGACAATATCCATCGGGATGCCATGAAGGCGGAAGACGTGGGTCACCAGCAGGTTGGCGGTCTCCAGTGCGGAAGGTAGCTTTGAAAGGGGGACGAAGTGGGCTGCCTTGGAGAACCGGTCAACCACGGTCAGTATAACGGTGTTGCCTTCCGAAGGGGGTAAGCCAGTGATGAAGTCGACCGCCACATGCGACCACGAGCGGTGAGGGATGGGAAGGGGGTGCAGCAATCCGGCGGGGGCCTGGTGTGAACAGGCAGCGACGAATCCCCTGGTATCCGTTGACATGGAGGGCCACCAGAACCGTTGTTGCAGGAGAGCCAGTGTTCTACGAAAACCAGGATGGCAGGCAATCCGGGAGGCGTGTCCCCATTGCAGGACAGGAGACCTCACCACCTCTGGAACAAACAACCTGCCCGGAGGACAACCCTGTGGAACCGGCTGGTCCCCCTGGGCCCGCTGGACCACACCCTCGATCTCCCACCCGGCTGCTCCAACCACACAGGCTGACGGCAGGATGGTGCTTCCAGCGGTGTCCTCAACCGGGGGAGCAAACTGACGTGACAGAGCGTCCGGTTTGATGTTCTTGGATCCTGGACGATAGGTGAGGGTGAATTGAAACCGCCCCAGGAACAAAGCCCATCGGGCCTGGCGTGAGTTGAGCCTCCGAGCCGATCTGAGGTAGGAGAGGTTCTTGTGATCCGACCACACAATGAAAGGGTGAGTGGATCCCTCCAGCCAGTGCCTCCACTCCTGCAGAGCTAGGACGACCGCTAGCAGCTCCCGATTCCCCACGTCATAGTTCCTCTCTGCTGGGGAGAGCTGGCGGGAGAAAAAGGCACAAGGGTGCTGCTTCTGATCTGCCGAGGAGCGCTGTGAAAGTACAGCTCCCACCCCGGAGTCGGAAGCATCCACCTCCACAATAAACTGTAGCGCGGGGTCAGGGTGAATAAGGACCGGTGCAGAAGAAAACAACAATTTCAATCTAGCAAACGAGGCCTCGGCCACCGGGGACCACACAAATGGGACTTTAACAGAAGTCAATTGCGTAAGGGGTGTGGCAACTCTGCTATAGTCCCGGATGAACCTGCGGTAGAAATTGGCAAACCCGAGAAACCTCTGTAGTTGCTTCCTTGATGTAGGAGTGGGCCAGTCGGCCACTGCCATAACCTTGGCAGGGTCGGTCTTGATTTGCCCCTTCTCCACAATGAAACCCAAAAAACTCACAGAAGACACATGAAACTCACACTTCTCCGCCTTAACATATAAACGATTCTCCAGGAGTCTCTTCAGGACTAAACTAACATGTTGCACATGGTCCTGGAGGTTGCGCGAGAAAATCAAAATATCGTCTAAATAAACAAACACAAAACAGTTCAACATGTCCCGTAGCACGTCATTGATCAGGTTTTGGAAAACCGCAGGTGCATTTGTGAGACCAAAAGGCATCACCAAGTACTCGAAATGTCCCAGAGGTGTGTTAAACCCAGTCTTCCACTCGTCTCCCTTCTTGATCCTCACTAGGTGGTAAGCGTTTCGGAGGTCCAACTTTGTAAAGATAGAGGCCTCATGGAGGGGTCCGAACGCCGAGTCTATAAGCGGGAGGGGGTATCTGTTCTTAACAGTAATGTCATTTAGGCCCCGAAAGTCAATACAAGGGCGCAGCGACTTGTCCTTCTTTTCCACAAAAAAAAACCCTGCCCCTAGCGGAGAAGAGGAAGGTCGAATTAGTCCAGTAGCCAAGGAGTCAGAAATATATGTCTCCATGGCCACTCTTTCTGGCTTAGATAAGTTATACAGCTTACTGGAAGAATAAGGAGCGTCCGGAACTAAATCAATTGAGCAGTCATAAGGTCTGTGAGGGGGGAGAGAGAGAGCGTGGTCCTTACTAAACACCTCCCGGAGGTGGTGATAGGCTGCGGGCACAGAGCTGACATCCACTGATTTAGGGGGTGGCGGTGTTAAAGACATGGTTGCCGGGGTGGCAGAATGTAAACAATGAGAATGACAGAAAAGACTCCAGTTGAAAATGGAGACGGAGGGCCAGTCAATCTGAGGGTTATGCAACTTCAACCAAGGAAGCCCTAGCACTACAGGGGAAGCCGGAGAAGGGATTAAAAAGAAAGAAATAATCTCCCGGTGGTTACCGGATAGCATCAGGTTCACGGGCGCCGTGCGGTGGGTGACCTGAGCTAACAGCCTGCCATCTAAAGCAAAAACCCTCTTAGGGTGAGAAAGCAGCTGGCAGGGGATACCTGCCTGAGAAGCAAAACTAGAGTCAATGAAATTGTCATCGGCCCCTGAGTCCACTAAAATGGACAGGGAACGGGAGGACTGATCCCAAGACACAGTCCCCTTAATTGTCAAACGGGAAGGAGACGAACAGACAGAGGACAGGCTCACCAACGCTCCTCCCGAAATTGGTGAGCCCCCCCTTTTGGCAGCAGCGGGCAGTGCATTTGCAGATGTCCATCCTGCCCACAGCAAAGGCAGAGGCCAAGGCGCCGGCGACGTTGATGCTCCCGTGGAGTGAGTCTGGTCCTTCCAAGCTGCATGGGTTCATCGGGAACGGAGGGAGGAACCGCGGTCTGGGAAAACCTCCTGTCGGGACAAGGAGGAGGCACAAGCCCCCACTGGGGAGGATTCATGCTCTGAGTCACGGGAAGGGTGAGCCTAACTCTCCCTAGTCTCTCCCTGCGGCGCTCGTGAAGACGAGAATCTAAACGAATAGCTAATGAAATTACCTCATCAAGAGAGGACGTCTCATCCCGAGAAGCCAATTCGTCCCTCAACTCCTCTCTCAATCCCCGGAGAAAAACACCCTGCAACGCTCTTTCATCCCACCCGGCCTCAAGCGCTAGAATCCGAAAATTCACTGAGTGCTTAGCTACGGAGTCCCCTCCCTGCCGTAGCGACAGGAGCCGGCTGCTAGCCTCCTTGCTACGCAGCGGGTGGTCAAGGAGAAGGAGGAAAAGGAAAAACAAACCGGGGACTGGCTAAACGAGAGCGCTACAGCCCAAGCCGCGGCTTTCTCCGATAGGAGACTCATAACAAACGCTACCCGCGATTTGTCGGTAGCGTAAGTGAGGGGCTGTTGTTCAAAAACAAGATTACAAAGAAAAAGGAATTCTCTACCTGACCCTGACTGACCCGAAAACCTAGCGGGTGTGGGGATGACGGGTTCCCGGGGTTGAGTGGAGGAAGAGCTCGGCGGAGCCGCTGGGGGTGGTGGAGCAAGATCCGGAACCGGAGCTGGAGCGGGAGACGAAGCAGTCAGCGTGGAGAGGTGAGTAGACACTTGGTCCATTCGGCTGCCGATTTGCGCCACTGTGGAGGTAAGCCTGTTGAGCGTCTCCATCACCTCGTTTAAGGCTAGCTCATGCTGCCCCACTCGACTGCCTTGGGAGGAAAGCGCCAGTCTGAATCTCTCCACGTCTGCGGGGTCCATGTTATGGCCAGATTATTCTGTTAGGTTTAGGTGAAGGTTCGGACCCCAAGGCAGACACGGAGAGGTTAGTGATCGGATATACGGACGAGAGTTTATTGGCTGGCGAGGATCCTAGCAACGGGGAGGACGAAGAGCCGGGCGGTGACGCACCCGGGCGTTCGTAGTAGACTGGAGTAATCTGGCGTCGCCGTGATGAGACGCCCAGGCTTATATGGAGGATGATTATTGGATGCAGGTGTGTCTCGTCCAGTCCAGTTGCCGCCAACAGCCAGCCACACCCCCTGCCACAAACAAAACACAAGAGAACACAGCCAAAACCCAAACAAACAGAAACCCAATCACCACAGTCAAACCCTACATCCCAACCCGCACTCTCCGCTCTGCATTTGCAAAACTACTCGTCCCTCCCTCACTGAGAGCAAAACACTCGACTAGGTCTCGACTCTTCGCTGTCCTTGCGCCGAAATGGTGGAACGCGCTCTCTGAAGACATCAGGACCGCAGAGAGCCTTCACATCTTCCGCCGCAAACTAAAGACACACCTCTTCAGACTCTACCTCGACTAAAGACTAACAAACTGTAGCACTTAAATTGTACTTGTAACGTCACTCATCTATAGCAAATTGTAAATTGGCTTATTTGAGGAAATTGCACTTTCTTGTTTCTTGTTCTCCTGAGTTTGTACCCTATGGTTGAATGCACTTATTGTACGTCGCTTTGGATAAAAGCGTCAGCTAAATGACATGTAATGTAATGTAATGTAAAAACATTCATGCTCCCTACAGAATGAATCTTAGATGAAGCTTGGGGAAAGTTTAATCAGAGGAGACTGAGATGCTTTCATCCTGTTGCTGTCACTTCTATATTTCTGCAGCAATGCAGTGCCAGATCGATGAAAATCTGCCCCAAACTACTCAACTTGTCCCTAAAATAAGTCATTTGATTCGGCTTGACTGTAAAATAAGGTGATGTGTTACTCCCTGGTATCATCAGCTGTAGCTCCCTCTAAGCACCAGTAGGAGGCAGTATTTTAGAAGCAATGACTTGCACTGTAATCTGGGGGTTGTATTGTACAGTGAATTATTATTTGAAGTCATTGAATGGAAACAGCGGTAGTAAAGGACGTCCCTTCAGCTGCAGCGCTCTTCTCTTACCTCCACTCGTCTTTGGAGAGATTAGACAGAATGTTCATGTCATCACTGTGCTGTAGAAGGCGATATGCAGCACTGACGTGGTAGTTCTCCAGAACAGCTCGGTCATTGTACAACATGGCGGTGTCTGACCTGCAAATGCGACACGGCTACTTCAGGAATGATCTCCCTCTCCGCCATCGTGATAATGCCAACAATGTATGAGGTAAAGCTGCTATCATTCATAGTAGCCTTTTTATTAGGTCACCTGTTAGATATCTCTTCATGCTCCAGTGTTGTCCACTGTCCTCAGAGACTGCAGGGATTGAAATGCTACAAACGATGCTACGTGGGAATAACCTTGTCTGAATATGGAAGTTATTGGTGGTCCCTGTGTGCTCGTAGTCATGAATGGCAGCTGCAAAAATGATGGCAAAGATCTCCAACTCACTGAGCCAGTGCTGAAGGAGAGAGGCAGACAGACGAGGAGGAACGTGTCAATCGGGAGATGAAGATCAAAAACCGTCCAGCTTAACGTTGTGCGGTTCTCCTGCTGGAAGTGAACCAGCACAGAGTCTCTTTGCCAGTTGTCAGTGTGCCTGAACCACCTCGGTTGTTTTCCAGTAGCACCTCAACTCAAATGAAAGCAAATAGAGCTCTTCACCAAGAGGATCTGGTGCAAAGTGCCTCACTGAGTGCTGGAGGTCACTGAGCGAGGAGGCTAACAGGACAACATCACATCAGCACCAGCAGAGAGGAGATGGAGACCCCCGACCCGAGGTCCTCCACCCCCGGGTGCGCCTAGATATCCTGTCCATGAAAGTCACCAACTGGAGAGTCAAAAGCCTTCTCCGTCCACAAAGCACATGTAGACTGGTTGGGCAAACTGCCAGGACCCCCCCAGTTGTCTCGGGAGGGTAAAGAGCTGGTCCACTGGTCCAAGACCGGGACGGAATGAGCACTACTCTGCTTGAGTCCAAGGTTCCATATGCTGTGATATGAGTCACTGCCTCCCCAGCATAGTCTTTCCCCAGAAAGGTGAAAGTGTGATATCCCCTTCAGCAACTCACGGCGAGTCCCATCCAGCCCCGGCCTTGCCCCCATGCAGCTTTCTGACCCCCGTAGTGACCCACAGGCACGTGGAGGCGGGGCTTGTACCTTTTAATAACACAATGTCTGCATTGTACATGTGGTGCTGCTATAGTCCCTAGATAGCCGTCATGAGGGATTGTTGATGCACTATTTCAACACAAATTAAGTTGGGTGGTGCTTGTGTTTGGGGGAGGGGCCTCTGTTTATTGCGGCCTTGGTTACCTGAGAAGGAGTCTCATTTAGGTTTTAACCATGATTTAAATCTATGTTTTGTCTTTACTTTACTGATTCACTGAACTCTTTCTTCTGTTCTTTCTTTGCTGTAACAACCTACATCAATAAAAGTCACCAAAGTCACTTTGGAGCCTTTCAACCATTTACAGTCAGAGACAACACTAACTTTGCTATTGCATCATTATTATCTACCTGTCAGTCATCATTCATCCCGTCCCGATTGGATTTTGAGGTAGGAAAGCTGTGATGAGTGACTTGTAAGATCCACTGAGGAAGTCTGCAGGCACTTTTGAAAAGCGTATTGCATTGTGCTTTTACCCAACCCTGAACGTACCACCATGCCGGTCCTGAGGAGCAGGTAATGAATGGTCTGTGTGACATCAGCCGCATGCGTCACGTTGTGATAGGGATTCTTGTGTTTGCTGTAGCCCACTTCCAACGAGTCCACGAAGGATATGAGGGCACAAACAGGGACCTTCAACAGAAGACAAGGAACAACCAGTTGCTTTGCAGAATTGTAGAAGCAATACAGAGAAGTTGTTCTGTTGAACCCAGTACGTTCCCATCGATACTTAGTTCTGCTGTCACTGACATTGTGCTCATTACATACACAGCGTCTTGTCAAAATGGACATATATGGACTTGAAACGGTTGATCAAGTCATATCTGGTGAATAGCTCATAGAAGACAAATTTCAGAGCGTGGTCCCCACTAGCATCGTTCAGTGCAAACACATCAAAAGACCACACGTCCACATGCTAGAAAAGACACACAGAAGCTTTATTAGCACGCGAATGTCCACATAACGGTTCAACTGTTCATTTATAGGATTCCTTTGTTAAGGTACCATCGATAAGAAAACATAAAAACACCAGTTACAATTTAGTCTGGAGGATTTTGTACTGATATAGAATTTAACAACTGGGAACTCGTTAATGAATTCTAGCTTCTTTTGTTATCCTGCACCTGCAAAATCTATGGATTTGTGTGTTGAGATCAGTTTATATGTTACTGCTGAAGAAATATAGCAATATTCCACACAAATGGAACCACATTCAGCTGGTTTATGCCATATTTATCAGATCGATCCCAGTTTGTGTTTGCTTATTACTGGTCAAATAGCGATGCTTCCTTAGTGTGTTAGAGGAAGCCTAAAATTATGATGCTTTAAGTTCCTTTTGAGCATCGGATTTGGACGGTTCAATGTTTAACGTTTAATTGGCTGATTGTAAACTCACAAGACTTCTAACCATCCACCACCACTTCCACTGACTCCAGTGGAATATCGCCCACTGGGGCTTTTAATATAATCTGAATATCTATGTTTGAGCATTATGTCCTTGACTCCGTGTCCTTACAGCGTCTCACAACTTGTCCCTTTTTTGCTGAACTGGATACAGTTTTCTTATTATTTTTCTGGACATGCTTTAAAAGGTGGACGGCTGAGTTCAAGGGAAGAGTTCTCTGTATAAGACGAAAAACTTAGAGAGGAACTTAAGATAATGGCTTTGGTGATGGAGAGTTTTTGGGCTGAGGCTGCAGCTATGACCCAGCACGTCCAACCCCCCCTCTACCGTTCCTGGTCCCACATCAAGTCCCTTCACGCTACCAGCAACAGGGAGTCAATTACGCATGTGGATTTTTTATTATCTTCTATTTGTGACTAAATAATTCATATGGTATCAATAAGGAACTGGACCGATAAGCAGTATGGACAGTAGTTGATAAAATCTTAACAAGTGTCCCTCGCCATTATGTCCAGAGTTAAGTCGTCCCACGTGATACCAATCGACCAATCGAGTCCTTGCATTCCAGGCAGGACGATGTGTCTCAACGGTGCATTTGTGTACATTGTTGGGATGCGGAGAACACGGGGAAAGCCGCTGCACGCCGCGCTGTTCCTGAAGTTTATTTGGCGCTTGAGAAACTTCTGGATGGTTCATTACATTCCCTGCTGATGTCCCAGTAAATGCAATCAAAGAGGGCTTTTATGGAACTGCAGGTAATTGAGTCATTCAGTGTTTCATCACTTATTGAAAAGGCGTTCCTATCACTATTCATTACGGAGCTTATCATCTTTATAGAATATGATTAAGGTGGACTCATGATAAGAATAGAGGGAATACACACACACATGCTGATTCACACACACATATTCAAACTCCTGGTTCTATATGGTGCGTTCATGATCCCCTCCGGCTCGTCAGCGGAGAAAAAAGAGCCTCTTCCTTTGAGTTGATTTGATCGACTCTTCCCCCTTTTGAAGTAGGACGCGGACACACAATTATCCTGATGACTGACGTCTGGTTCCAGTTAATGACATTAAGCTGGATCAGCTAGCATGGTTTCAGTCAGCGGGTTAGTTTGAGCTAAGAGGACATTTGATTGGCTTAGTTGCACCACGTAGAAGTAACACGTATCCCTGCTGGCTTTGACCATCAACAGCAAACAATCACCCAGTGGAGTCCACCATGTTTGTACCCTATTCAGCTACGAGGATAATGCAGAGTTTTATTATTATTACCAATGGACCCTTTATGTTATCTGTGTTATATTATTCATGTTAAATGGGAAAACCTTGAAACAAACATCACACATCATGACTAAACAACTATGAAGGGCCTAATATTCCACATGACGGTTGCATCAAATACACCAAACAAGCCAAACCTCTCCACAAAGATGCCGGCCTGCACTGCGTGAACGATGCTGCGGAAGCGTGGCTTGTCCTCGTTACGGCGCAGCATCACAACCGTCTGCCGGGTGAAAGTGGAAGCCAGCCAGTCCCGAACCTCTGACGGCACCGAGTCCGACCGGATGTCACCCAGCTGGTCCTCTGGATCCACCAGCCGCCTGCAAGGAGACACGCATCAGACTAAAGATGTGGCTCTGCGTGATTACGGTCTTTCAAATCATTTTCCGTACAGTTAAAATCCCCCCCAAAAAATAAAAAACCCTCGGGGGCACAGCCATTTAAAACATTATCACTTTTTTGTAAAAACAGCTTCCTCTCTGCACCGATTGTTGGAGAAACCACATTGATAAAAACAACAGTA